ATTCCCTTTGGTCCTTCACTTTCATGTCATCATATCAGTAAATTGTCACAGAGTTGGATGGGGTGTATATTCCTGGAAGCCACCCCTACAGAAAGTGACTAGCAACCATTTAACTGCACAGGGAAGTGACTGCAAGACACACCCAGGCATTCTATTAGTCTTATTGCATTGGAAGCTGACTTCCCCCTCATCAAGTCCCTCACACTCCTGACTGCCTCTCTGACTCCCAGCAAAGTGTGACAGAGGACAGGGTGGCTGAAAAGGGACAGTTGTCTCAACCAAATGCAGTTAAGAATTTCTCCCCCATTTTTACAAAAGCATGCTCTCACATGAGCACAGTGATACAGGACCTCCTAAGGCCTTCAGAAAGCGCATGTGTGATTGAGGGGCTACAGTGCGTAAATTTCATTAGCTTTACTGTAAATATGTCTTGGCTAGGTATGGTTTGAAAATATTTTACTTGGCAACATAAACTGTACCTATGAACAAACTTTGAAACCCAGTCTTGTATTTGGTTTCGTTTTGCTTTGGAATGACAAGCTGACCAGGGTGGAGCATTCCCAGTGGGCTTATTTGTTTCTTTTGGAAGAGAAAACGTCCGTACGGAGCCCACACCCACACCCAGATCTTAGCTGTCATTTGTCACAGTGATGAGAAATGCCCTGAACATGTGTGTAAGTGTGCACAGTCGGACCAGATGGGAAGCAGAGTACTGGCCCTGGGACTAGCATAAGCCTTTCCAGAGGATGCCAAACTCTGGAGACCCAGTCTTGGGCTGGGGTTTCTCCCTGTGGCAAACATCTCCGTCTTCCAAGATGTCATGAGCACCTACGGTCAGCAGATGGGGGGGCTTGCCTATGCGGAGGCTCTGTCGCCATCTAATGGCCAAAGTAAACATTACACTTCTCATCCAGTCCAAGGAGTCCCAGTGCAGGAGGATTAAAGAAAGCACCCATTGTGTGTGCTGTAGACTGAGTTATACCCCATCTCCAGTGAAGCTCAGAAGAAATATTTTCCATAAGCCCTCCTTTTCACTAGCTGATAAGTCAATACTCTCTCCACTTCTGTTTCCCCCAAAGAAGAGACGCTGCTGATACTGTTCAGTATTCATCAAAGCCCTGGATAGGAGGAGTGTTATGCTGCTTCCCTGACAGTCCTGTCCTGTGGAATATGGTTCTGCTAGGCAGCTAGCATCCCCTCTGCATTGCCTTAGGTCACCTCAGAGGATAAGACAGCTGTCCTTCTCCAAGTCTGTGCAGCAGGGGCAGGGCCTGAGATTTGGCTAGACATCAGGAAAGCTAAGGCCCAGAGCATCCTTAGTCCTAGAACAGTGGATGGTGGTTGGTAAGGCCACCAAAGCTGTCCCCACACTAGTGTGGCCCAGATGCCTGGGCAGGTTCTGGGCCTTGGAAGACTTACACCTTGTGACTTCCTAGAGGTGAGTGTCGGGGCCTATTGGAAAACTGTACCTGGCAAGGCTATATGTAGGAAGGTGTATGCAGGAAAACAAACAAAAAGCCATGGGCTTGATTTTTCCTCGATGTTATCTTTGCTGGGTATGATAGGTGGGCGGGGGACAGAGATGGAACCCAGCACCTTGAACACGCACACAGTTCACTGCTGAGCAGCAGCAGCCCAGCCCTTCAGTTCCTTTGCCAGTTGCCCTTGCTACTCAATGCAAACTTCAGGAGGACAGGCTTCCTGCTTCATCATCGATGCCTCACATAGACATGCAGGAGACAGCATTTGCTAACTGCTAACTGTGTGGGCACAGCTTTTATCATCAGCCGCCTGATCCTTTTGGCTCCTCTCAGCTCCCAGGCTGCCCTCCCTGGCTCAGATTGAAGGCAGGACCAAGTTTCTGTCTCTCAAAAGCTTAGTCTGATGCCCTCCAGTTGGTTCTGGTCTTCCCCCCTCCTTGTTTCCTGTTCACATACGGACATCAGTGAGACTGATTTCAGTGCTCTGCGACCCTGTCCTCATCTAGGGACTGGACTGAATTGACAGTTTGAATGAGTGGAGAAAGTGGCCTCATTAATTCACTGGCTTACTATATATTTCCTGAATGCCTACTCTGTGCCTTCCTTATGTCCAACAGAGAGGACGGTAGCAAAGCAATCAGCTGCAATTCCTTTCACAGGAAGCTGCTGATACAGTAAAGCAAAGCCAGTCTTGACTAAATAATACTGTGCTACAGACTTCCTGATGTGTGCGTCTGAGTGGCATGGGCACCAAGGAAATCATCAATTCAGGCTCCAGTTGTCATGGAGGATTGAGGGAAATTAAAGCCTACACATAAACCTAAATGATGAGGTGCTGATAGCTAGGCAGTGGAGGGAAGAGGGTCGGGGAGCCACTGAGAACCGGACCTGCATGAGACCTAAGGCGAAACAATTACAGCTGAAAAGTTAGAGTGTCACCACGTTGGATGACAGGTTTCCTGAGGCTCTATGTAGTTTAGGAGCTCTGTAGGTTCAGGAACCCAACTCCTTCTCATTCAGAGGTAGGGGTGCTATGTTCAGCAAACAAAAGCATGCCTACCCTCACAGAACCAGCAAATGATTAACCCATGTTACAAAATGTGCTAAGCAGCCACTGTAAAATATGTCCCAAATATTGAAATGCAATGTGCACCTAATAGTTTACCATCATCTCTATGAGACGACAACAAAGGCTTTGAAACTGACTCTGTGTAGCCAACTCATGGAGGTGTGATGATGTAAATGTGATAAGCTGTGAGCAGCAAAAATGTGCGTGTTATTCAGAGCCTCCTTTCTGAAAAATTAAGCCATCAGAGGATGCTGGGAGAATAAGAGATAAGAAAAACACGTTGCAAGTTTTTCTTAGTGTATGAAAAATTCTGACAAGGTATCCTGGCTTCACAACCCACAATATCTCTTACGGAAGAATGTGAGTCCTAACTGGAAAAGACAGGCCAAGAATTACAACTCCTTTAGTTTAGTTCCTTTTCAGCTCACAAGTGTCTGCTGTTAGCTGATAGTTCACTGTACTCAGAAGCAGCAGTAGAGTGCTTGCTGCTCTTTCAGAGGACCCTAGATCAGTTCCTAGCACCCATGTCGGGTGGCATGTTGGGTGACCTGTAATTCCAGCTATGGAAGATCAGATACACTCTCCCAGTCTTTTCAGACACCCACATGTAGATGTACGCACACACACATACGCACACTACTAAAAAAGTATGGGCTACCAAGTAGACATTCCAATTACAAAATAATCACAAATACTTCAGATCAGTCCGTGCTTTTCCTTTTAAAGATATGTTGAATTGTCTAGACTTTGCAGTGATTTATTCTACCTTCTTTTAAAATGTTCAAGATTTTTATAATTTTATGTATATGAATGAGTGTTTTGCCTGTATGTGCACCATATACATGCCAGCAATGTGTCAGATTCCTGGAACTGGAGTTCCAGGCAGTTGTGAGCCTCCATCTGGCTGTTGGGGACCTGTCCTAGGTCCTCTGCAAGAGGAGCAAGTACTCTCTTTTTTGTTTTTAATTTTAATTTAATTTTATTTTATTTTTAATTACACTTTATTTACTTTGTATCCCCCCTCTAGTTCCCTCCCTCCCAATCCCTCCCTTCCTCTCCTTTCTTCATGCATGCCCCTCCCCAAGTCCACTGGTAGGAGAGGGTTTCTTTTTCTTCTTTCTGATCCTAGTCTGTTAGGCCTCATCAGGAGTAGCTGCATTGTCTTCCTCTGTGGCCTAAGGCTGCTCCCCACTCAGGGGGAGGTGATCAAAGAGCAGGCCAATCAGTTCATGTCAGAAGCAGTCCCTGTTCCCATTACTATGGAACCCACTTGAACACTGAACTGCCATGGGCTACATCTGTGCAGGGGTTCTAGGTTATCTCAATGCATGGTACTTGGTTGGAGTATGAGTCTCAGGAAAGACCCCTGTGCTCAAATTTTAGTACTCTTAACCACTGCGTCATCTCTAGCCCCTATTCTGTCTTTCTAATCCACTTAGAACAATGAATTATTTGGCTGAGAAATCACTTCAGAAACTTGGGGTGCCCATACACTATCAGTTTCCTAATATCCTCAAATATACAGTTCCAAAAGTTCATCCTCATAGTCACTTCCCTGCCTCCAGGATGCATCTCTTGCCTGGAGTAGACTTCCTCCCACTGTTTCATTTAAATTCACTTTCTCCTTACTGATCCGTTCCTCCACACAACAGAAGTCTTTAGTATCTGCCTAACGGAGGCAGAAGTATGCCTGCATCCTACCTGCAGCTCAGGCCTTCGAGTGGATGTAGTCTGAGGAGAGTACTTGGTACACAATGCCTCAAGCCTATCATTCTCATCCAGAATTCCCTCAAAGGGCCGTCAGAAAATTGGTCCTGAGCGGGGGCTATGGTGGCACACGCCTTTAAATGTATTCAGGGCTGACCACAATGAGTTCCAGACCAGCTAGAGCTACACAGAGTGATTCTGTCTCGAAAGAGAGAGGGAGGGAGGGAGGGAGGGAGGGAAGAGAAAGAGAGAGAGAGAGAGAGAGAGAGAGAGAGAGAAAGAGAGAAAGGAAGGAAGGAAGGAAGGAAGGAAGGAAGGAAGGAAGGAAGGAAGGAAGGAAGGAAGGAAATCCAGTTCTGCATACTGTGTCCTCAAGAGCAGGAAAGCTACACCCATGAAACCTCAATAACATGATCTCCTAAACAACGCCATTGGGTATGCCAACCTGGACGTAGAAAACTCACAAGGTCTCACCCCTAGTTAAAGAGCTATCACCAATCAGTGGCTGCTGAGAGACAGAATTTGCCTTCTCTGTTGTTAAGACCCCTAATATCCAATCTCAAGTAGTCAGTCCTAAATACATACGCACAGGAGCAAGGTTAAAAGAACACAGCGGGCTGTCTTTTGTTCGGCAGCCGAAAACCAGCTCAAGGCTGGGAAGCGGGCCAGTAGGCGCCTTGGACACGCTTTCAAGCTCCCATTGGACGGGATATCCGGAAGGGCCCGGCCGAGTCCTAGCTTGTCCTGGTTGGGCGGGCTGGTGGGATAAGCCCTCATCTCGCCCCCTTGTCCGTCCAGCCCTCTTCATTCTAAACAATCAAACAAACAAAACCCTCCAGGCTTCTGTGTGGTATTGCAAAATAAACAGAGGCCATGGCGCGCTGGTTCGTGGAGGCCTTCGAGTCTCATAGATTTAGGGAGACGGGAAAGGTTAAGAGGACCGGAACTATTACTTCACGGAACCTTTGAGGTGAGGCTTGGAGGGGCCGTTTGAGGAACGGACCGCGGCGGGACCAGACCGTACTGGTAGGCATGGCGGCGGAGGAGCTTGACGCGGGCCCAGAGGCCGCCATCCCTGTGGACCTGCGGCGGGAACGGCGACTGGTGTGCGTGGAGTACCCAGGCGTGGTGCGTAACGAGGCTAAGATGCTGCAGACTCTGGGCGGCGAGGAAGGCGTCTCTCGAGTAAGGAGCTGGGAAACCCGGGACCGCGGGAAAGGAACCAGGACTTCCTAATGGGCGGGTTGACCCGGTGGGAAAGCGGTTTCCTTGGCAACAGAGAGTTTGGGCAGACTGTAGGACCTGCTGTGAGCGAGGCATTGTTTTCTTTCGGTGCCCAAATGTGAGTAGCATGCTTAGCATTTGTCCCAGGACCACAGTTCAGTTGCAGCCGCGCTGGGTGTCGTGAGCTGCTCTAGGTGGAAAACCGAGGCAAAGGAGGAAAGGTTAAGAACTTTTGCCCCACCTGTTACTGAAATTCAAAGTAGTGCAGTTCGCTGATGTTGTATTCTCTGCTAGGCAAGTAAAAGTGCTTTGTTTGTACGCCACAGTCCTTGGAATCCGTAATGTAGGAACTGAGGACGTCTGCATTTTACAAGTGAACACAGAACAATTTGTTTCAGGGCATACTACAAGGCGGGTGGCCAAAGTGATGCTCTATGTACCAGATCTTGAACTATTTCTTTAGAAACGATTTCCCTGAGCCGGGCACTGTGGCGCACCTTTAATCCCAGCACTCAGGGAGGCAGAGGCAGGCGAATCCTGTGAGTTCGAGGCCAGCCTGGTCTACAAAGCGAGTACAGGACAGCCAAGGCTACACAGAGAAACCCTGTCTTGAAAAACAAAAGTAAAAAAAAAAGATTTTTCTGAAAACCTTAGCATACATAAGTAGGTTTTGTCAGTTAATATTTGCCTCCTTCTATTGTTAATTTCTGAAATTTCATT